GGCAGAACCCGCCATGGCAGCAGGCTTCCTGTGAGGCACGGGCCGGCTCGAGGGACGGGGAGAGGGAGGAGAGCTGCGTAACGTCCCCTGCCACGCAGGCGCAGCACCATCCTGCCCCGGGCTCCCGGCCCCACGCCCGTGGGTTGGTGCCTCTCAGGCGTGGAGGATGAGGACCTGCCTTGAACGAGCCTCCTGGAGAAGGCTCGAGGCTAGAAATAATGATCTGACTGGAAACCCTTACGGGGAACCGCAGCTCCGACCCGGCTCCCTGCCTCCGGAGCTGCTGCCGCGCTGGGGAGCGAGGGGTGAGCGAGGCTGCTCTGCACCTTCGGCTTTATCGCGTGATGCTGTGGTTGGAGCAGACGGCCCGGGATGACTGTTCTCGACGAAACGACTTGCGCACCGGCTGCCCCTGCGCCTTGCAGCCGGATGAGCCAGTCAGTACGGGAGAGGAGGCAACACCACCGTGAGAGCTGACGTCTCCGGTCAGAGTAAGCCCGATGGGACCTGTGGCAGCCCTCCCGGCCAAGGTGAGAGGTGCCAAGGACCCAAGAGGGTATGCAGGAGCTACAGGACAGCATGAGACAGACACGGGTCACCAAGATAGCCTTCAGTGAGCTTCCACAGGGAGCCCGAGTGCTCTGGCTGCACACGACTGCAGTGTGAACATGCCACGAGGCGCCGGTTGTCCCGATGGGCAGAGCAAGAGGTGCCGAGGGCACCGGCACCGCACGAGCCACCTTCCAGCCGTCACGCTCTGCTGGGAAAGCGGCTCTAAGACCCATTTCTCTCCCCCTTTCACACAGCTCAAGCTGTCCTGAGCAGAAACCACCAAGACCCGAGTCCAACCACAGCAAGCCCCGCAGGGGCGGATGGCCATCACCCGGGCGTCTTGCCCTCAGAGACAGCAGTGCCGAGCAGCTCGCTTTGGTGGCTCTTCTGCTTTCTCATCCTCTTTATTGCATTGCTACAGCTCCATGTTTCATGGTATAGATGCTTTGGGGTGCAGCAGCTGCCTGCAAAGCCCCACCGTGCCGTCGCCACCAGCTCCAGGTGTCTGCCTGTGCTGGGACAACGCAACCCGAGCTGCGCGTGCCTCCCCCCCCAGCAGAAGCACGCAAGGAGCCCAGGAGCAGCTCCACGC